AAATAATTTGTACTTTGTAGCTCTCACAACCATATCTACAACTTCTGGTGATACCAAACGGACAATGACTGAAGGTAAAATTGACTATAATAATTATCAAATTATACAACAGCAACATATTTAAACTACCAAACGTTACTACAATCAAAATTATTGGTGCACAACTTGTATCCCGTTTCAATTCAAATTTTGTATATGGATTTCTTCCTTTTTGATAATTTAAACTGAGAAAACACAAAACATTACATATTTAAAAAAGAAAATAATTTGTACTTTGTAGCTCTCACAACCATATCAACAACTTCTGGTGATACCCAACGGCCAACGACTGAAGGTAAAGTTGACTATAATAACTGTCAAATTATAAAACAAATGAGTTTTGCCTACTACTAGTACCAGTGTTGTTTGGTCCCAGTGAAAATAATGCACTTAAAAGTCCTCACAACCTGAACATATCTAAACTAAAATATTTTACAACAATAATAATTATTGGTACATTCCTTGTATTCCCTTTCAAATGAAATTTTATGCTACTATATATGGATTTTTATATTTTTGTTTTTGATAAATTAAGCAATACACAAAACATTACTTATTTAAAAAAGAAAATAATTTGTACTTTGTAGCTCTCACAACCATATCTACAACTTCTGGTGATACCAAACGGACAACTACTGAAGGTAAAGTTGACTATAATAATTATCAAATTATACAACAGCAACATATTTAAACTACCCAATGTTACTACAATCAAAATTATTGGTGCACAACTTGTATCCCATTTCAATTGAAATTTTGTATATATGGATTTTTTCCTTTTTGATAATTTAAACTAAGAAAACACAAAACCATTACTTATTTAAAAAAGAAAATAATTTGTACTTTGTAGCTCTCACAACCATTTCTACAACTTCTGGTAACACCCAACGTCCAACGACTGAAGGTAAAGTTGACTATAGTAACTGTCAAATTATAAAAAAGCATGAGTTTTCAATACTACTAGAACTAGTGTGGTTTAGTCCCAGTAAAAATAATGCACTTAAAAGACCTCAAAACAAGAACATGTCTAATCTAAAGTATTTTACTACAATAATAATTATTGGTACATGCCTTGTATTCCGTTTCAATTGAAATTTTATGCTACTATATATGGATTTTTATAACTTTGTTTTTGATAAATTAAGTGATACATATAACATACTGATTTAAAAAAAAGAATTTGTACTTTGTAGCTCTCACAACAATATCTACGACTTCCGGAGATACCAAGCGGCCAACAACTGAAGGTACATTTGAATATAATAATTGTCAAATTATACAACAGCAACATATTTAAACTACCAAACGTTACTACAATCAAAATTATTGGTGCACAACTTGTATCCCATTTCAATTGAAATTTTCTATATGGATTTTTTCCTTTTCGATAATTTAAACTCAGAAAACGCAAAACATTACTTATTTAAAAAAGTAAATAATTTGTACTTTGTAGCTCTCACAACCATATCTACAACTTCTGGTGATACCAAATGGCCAACGACTGAAGGTAAAGTTGATTATAATAATTGTTAAATTATACAACAGCAACATATTTAAACTACCAAACGTTACTACAATCAAAATTATTGGTGCACAACTTGTATCCCATTTCAATTGAAATTTTGTATATGGATTTTTCCCTTTTTCGATAATTTAAACTGAGAAAACACAAAACATTACTTATTTAAAAAAGAAAATAATTTGTACTTTGTAGCTCTCACAACCCAACGTCCAACGACTGAAGGTAAAGTTGACTATAGTAACTGTCAAATTATTAAAAAGCATGAGTTTTCAATACTACCAGAACTAGTGTGGTTTGTTCCCAGTAAAAATATAGCACTTAAAAGACCTCAAAACAAGAACATGTCTAATCTAAAGTATTTTACTACAATAATAATTATTGGTACATGCCTTGTCTTCCGTTTCAATTGAAATTTTATGCTACTATATATGGATTTTTATATTTTTGTTTTTGATAAATTAAGCAATACACAAAACATTACTTATTTAAAAAAGAAAATAATTTGTACTTTGTAGCTCTCACAACCATATCTACAACTTCTGGTGATACCAAACGGGCAACGACTGAAGGTAAAGTTGACTATAATAATTATCAAATTATACAACAGCAACATATTTAAACTACCCAACGTTACTACAATCAAAATTATTGGTGTACAACTTGTATCCCATTTCAATTGAAATTTTGTATATGGATTTTCTCCTTTTCGATATTTTAAACTGAGAAAACAAAAAACCATTACTTATTTAAAAAAGAAAATAATTTGTACTTTGTAGCTCTCACAACCATATCTACGACTTCTGGTGATACCCAACGGCCAACAACTGAAGGTAAAGTTGACTATAATAATTGTCAAATTATAAAAAAGCATGAGTTTTGCATACTACT